GGAGTCATGCCTGCTTCATTCCCACTTCTCTTTCATGGGGATCAAATCGTTGATTCCTTAGCACCAGTCAGAGAGCAAGGTAATAGTCTCTTTTGGCAGGTAAGAAGTTTTAATTTAAAAAAAGGGGGGGGGCACTAAAGAAATACATGTAAATTATTCTTTACAAACCTGAATACATCAAGGTTTATGCAATAAGAATAATATACTCTTCTTTACAGTATCTGTGAACTCTTTTTTATAATAATGTATTGCTTTTCTTTATAAGATCAAAAAATCTTTAATATGCATATTAAAACGGTCGAAGGAAAAAGGCCCAAGTTAGTAGTACCAAATCTACTACCAATTATTCTGACCCATCTGGTTTTCAAATCTACTCTTCATCTAGACTGATTGACTCTGCAACTTTAAACAAGAAACAAAATCATTATGATATTCCATTTTTTCATAGATAAAAGGGGTCAGTAATTTCATGCTAATAGTTTACAGTAAGATTAAGTTAGATGATATACGTAAGGTGCCTTACACAGAGTAGGTATTTGACAGATGTTCTTACCTTCCCTTTGTAGATTATAAGCAGGAGGGCCCACCTAAGCCAGTACTTTAAGATATGAAAGAATTGATGCTAACCTTTCTGCTTATGTTCAATCTGCCAAATTAGTTTATTTTTATATGTGGGTTATTCCTATTGGGTCACTAGAAAAAGTCATCATGTATTTTTTCAATCTTTTTTAAGGCTAAAACGGGTAATGACTTTTCTGACAACCCAACAGATCTAAAATATATACATTAAATACAGTTTTGTATTCATGAACTTGGGTCTTTCATATACTTCGAAACATAGTTTCAACACCAACCTCATAAATACATGTACAATTGCTTGAGAAGAAGGGGTTCTGTATCTCTACATAATCTGATTTCAATGTTTAAAAACAAACTTTCAAGTTATCAGTTAGCAGTTCTGTATGATAAAGTATCATAGATCACTTGAGCACACTGAGACACTACAGAACAATTTTACACAATCAGCACTGAGAAGTGGCAACCTAGTCATTCAAAGATTTTTAGTGTTTTGGTTACAAACAAACCCTAAGAGATTAACTGGAGATGTTTTTGCTATAGGGTTCATGCGCTCACTAGAAAGACAGAGAGAGACAGAGAGAAAGAAAGCGAGAAATCACCCCACAGGGGAAATAGCCATGTCACAATACCTTCTCCTCTCAGGATCTTGGGCACGCACGCACATGCGCCTGGCGTGAGTTTAAGCCACCGGGTCCTGGACTCGAACTGCAGTCGACTACATGGGAGTCTAGTGACATAACCATTACGCCAACTGCTGCCCCTCCCCCCCCAAAAAAAAACCTCTTTTTAATAAGGGTTTTTTGCCAACCTACTCTGCTAAAACATACCCAATACCTGAAAACCTATTTTATAGATATTGAGGGGCGGGTAGGAGAAGGCATGGCTATTCACCAGCCTTAAACAACTGTACATCCATGCCATTCTTTATTCAACAAAGTTTTTAAGTGCTAACCAGTACCAATCTATGATTTGGAAAATCCTAGATTAGACAGACATACCATTGTACAGAAAGGAGCTTATATAGGCCAAAAATGCACAATCACATCAAAGATGACTTGATGATTTACAAGGACAAAGAGCAGTGGGCTTGAAAGGGTAGGGGTAGGGCTTCACAAAGTAAAAGCAAAAGCACACTACAGAAGCAAGAAAAAGCAGGTAAGCAGGTCAATCTTCCTTAAGGCGATTAGGAGAAGTGGGGTTTTAAGGACAATAGGAATGTTAATCACTCTATTTACTTTTAAACAAAAGGGGAGAGGGGAAGTTTCCAGTCATAGGAATTAACAGTTCATAATGGAGGCGCTCCTCCAAGATGGAGTCCTCCTGCTTCATTCCCCACTTCTCTTGGAGGCGCTCCTCCAAGATGGAGTCATGCCTGCTTCATTCCCACTTCTCTTTCATGGGGATCAAATCGTTGATTCCTTAGCACCAGTCAGAGAGCAAGGTAATAGTCTCTTTTGGCAGGTAAGAAGTTTTAATTTAAAAAAAGGGGGGGGGCACTAAAGAAATACATGTAAATTATTCTTTACAAACCTGAATACATCAAGGTTTATGCAATAAGAATAATATACTCTTCTTTACAGTATCTGTGAACTCTTTTTTATAATAATGTATTGCTTTTCTTTATAAGATCAAAAAATCTTTAATATGCATATTAAAACGGTCGAAGGAAAAAGGCCCAAGTTAGTAGTACCAAATCTACTACCAATTATTCTGACCCATCTGGTTTTCAAATCTACTCTTCATCTAGACTGATTGACTCTGCAACTTTAAACAAGAAACAAAATCGTTATGATATTCCATTTTTTCATAGATAAAAGGGGTCAGTAATTTCATGCTAATAGTTTACAGTAAGATTAAGTTAGATGATATACGTAAGGTGCCTTACACAGAGTAGGTATTTGACAGATGTTCTTACCTTCCCTTTGTAGATTATAAGCAGGAGGGCCCACCTAAGCCAGTACTTTAAGATATGAAAGAATTGATGCTAACCTTTCTGCTTATGTTCAATCTGCCAAATTAGTTTATTTTTATATGTGGGTTATTCCTATTGGGTCACTAGAAAAAGTCATCATGTATTTTTTCAATCTTTTTTAAGGCTAAAACGGGTAATGACTTTTCTGACAACCCAACAGATCTAAAATATATACATTAAATACAGTTTTGTATTCATGAACTTGGGTCTTTCATATACTTCGAAACATAGTTTCAACACCAACCTCATAAATACATGTACAATTGCTTGAGAAGAAGGGGTTCTGTATCTCTACATAATCTGATTTCAATGTTTAAAAACAAACTTTCAAGTTATCAGTTAGCAGTTCTGTATGATAAAGTATCATAGATCACTTGAGCACACTGAGACACTACAGAACAATTTTACACAATCAGCACTGAGAAGTGGCAACCTAGTCATTCAAAGATTTTTAGTGTTTTGGTTACAAACAAACCCTAAGAGATTAACTGGAGATGTTTTTGCTATAGGGTTCATGCGCTCACTAGAAAGACAGAGAGAGACAGAGAGAAAGAAAGCGAGAAATCACCCCACAGGGGAAATAGCCATGTCACAATACCTTCTCCTCTCAGGATCTTGGGCACGCACGCACATGCGCCTGGCGTGAGTTTAAGCCACCGGGTCCTGGACTCGAACTGCAGTCGACTACATGGGAGTCTAGTGACATAACCATTACGCCAACTGCTGCCCCTCCCCCCCCAAAAAAAAACCTCTTTTTAATAAGGGTTTTTTGCCAACCTACTCTGCTAAAACATACCCAATAACTGAAAACCTATTTTATAGATATTGAGGGGCGGGTAGGAGAAGGCATGGCTATTCACCAGCCTTAAACAACTGTACATCCATGCCATTCTTTATTCAACAAAGTTTTTAAGTGCTAACCAGTACCAATCTATGATTTGGAAAATCCTAGATTAGACAGACATACCATTGTACCGAAGAATCCACTTCCAAGTAGCTAAAGGTGTCAGAAATATAAGCAGAGAGCTATGGCACAGGGTAACATAAGACATTAGAGAGTGGTCCAGGAGGTGCACAGGGCCCTGAGCATGGGGGCGAGAAAGGAAGACTTTAGGGACAACACAGAGCCTGCTCAAGCTTTTAAGGTGAAGGAGTTAGTGAAGAGTGAATGCAAGAGCCATCTAGGCAGATGCTTCCAGGACCCTGCCTAAATAAAGGCTTGGCTTCTACTTCAAATGCTAATGTACTATTTGAAAATCGGCCTTGTCTGTACTAGCAAGGAAGTCTTAAAATGAAGCACAATATCTTTGGAGACCAATGAACTATTCCTTTATCATCTTAATATTGAAAATTATGACCTACTGGAATACTGAGAGAAATGTCACCACCTGTAATTTAATCTTGATTAATTCAAAACTGTCAGGTAGCCTATTTTAAGAAGCTCTATCAGTAACCACCAATAACCAATATAAGCTAGCAAAATTAGAAGATTCACTTCAGAGCAAGTAAAGCTTGGAGTGCATTAACTAAAGAGAGAGTATGCATCCAAATGAACTCATTAACAGGAGCCTAGCAGCTGCAGATTACTACTAAGAAATGAAGAGCTATTGACATGTAAACCACAGAGAAGAGCACTGCACAGTGGCAGAAAGCACAACATCCCCCCTAAAACATTCCAAAAAAATAAATAAATTGGCATTACTTAATTTAAAAGAATATTATTTCTTTCAGTTTGGGAAATTTTATGTTAAAACAAGAGATCCAGCTTTTGCTTACTGCTTTTTACATTCTTTAGCTGGTGCTTTACATATTTATTTTAAGAGTATCAACTGATATCACAAAACTCATTGATCATTCACTTTTCTTTTTTTATTTGATATACAATCTATATTAGACTTTATTTTGAAAAGACCTATTGAAAAACAAATTTGGAAGATAATTGAGCTCAGCGACAATAGTACTTTGTACATCACTCATGAAATGAATTTTTTTACTCCATTTTCTTTTTATTTATTTATGAAACTTTTTTTTCATTAATTTGCATACACTTTTCACTTTTCTTTCTTTCTTTTTTTTTTTTTTGAGAGGTTTTCACTATAGGGCACATGCACTCGCCAGACAGACAGAGATAGACAGAGACAGAAAGCAAGAAATCACCCACCAGGGGGGATGGCCATGCCGCAATCCCTTCTCCTCCATTCTCTCGGGATCTTGGGCACGCACGCACACGCGCCCAGCGTGAGTTTTAAGCAACCAGGTCCGGGACTCGAACTGTGGTCGACTACATGGGAGTCCAGCGACATAGCCATTACGCTAACTGCTGGTCTCTACATACACTTTTCTAAAAATACACAAACACGAAAATAAAATCAACACTAGCAGGACAGGAAGAAGCCCTGGACAGAAAGCCTGCAAACTTTTTTCATTTTATAACTAACATCTGAACTTCCTCACACATTCTAATGAGAATGATGAGAGTGAGTTTTCACTCATTTTGTTCAAATTTTCCAAGGAATACTTATGGAAGAGTCATCACCATTGGGCTTATTATACTTTATATACTAAATACATTTTACACTCAGAGCATCAGCCCTCACCAAAGTCCAAATCAATACATGTTTTAATATCCCATTGGCATAGACATTGTGTTTTTTGGATGAAGAGTTATTATCAGAGCAAAATCTCAGATTTTCTCCCATCTCTAAAATGTCAGTATTGGCACTTACTAACAATTTTCTGTCTCAAAAATAAAAATAAAAAGTGTATGCTGATGTGTGATACTGTGATACTTCCAACTCCTAATGAATATTGGTAGCTTGCCCTTTCACCTACAAATTGCACTCATTAAAATGGAAATCTGCTTTCAGACAACCAAATCAATGGACAGATTCTGCAATCATCTTATCATATTTTAAAATGTATAGTCCGTGCACATTTTCCTATGTTGAATTTGTATTTTTATCTTCAATATACAGTATTCATTATTTGTCACCCTGCAGAAAAAATATGCCACAGATTGAATCTAATATTGCTCTTAATTTATCCCCCAAATATGTTTTCATATTAGTAACCTAAAGCATTACAAAAATAGTGACCTGAGTTGAAGAATATAAATGAAAATTCTTATGAAAAGACTAGGCATAGGGTGACAAATTAGCCTTTGCGCTAAAGATTGACTACGAGGTGAAAAGAGAGAGAAAAGTATGTCCTTTACAGCGTCAAGTAATGTTTTTGACCCCCGTTGTTTCTAGAAACAAAATTGTTGATGATTTATTTATTGTGTGAAAGGGATGGATGTTTTTCCTGGTTATTATAAAATCAGGTAAAAAATTTCCATTTATACCATTTGTGAGTATTCACTCAATTGCATTATATTTTCACATGAATATGTCTACTCCAGAAATATGTGTTGAAATAAGACCAAAGTTTACCTTTTTCTTATAATGGTCCACAGCACCTAGTGCAATGTTCTGTAATTAGCAAGTCATCTATCATCATTAATAGTCTGTTGGCTAAACTTCTCTAATTTAAAAGTAAATGCATTATCAGTCTCATGAAGTGTCAAACGGTTGATAGAATCCAACACACTCAAGGGAGAGTTATTTAACAGTCATTCTAGTCACTCTTTTAGAACTGCCTCTTAACACTCAGATCTCTGTTAAATAAAAAACAGAATGGAGATATCCCTAGTTGTTTATGGCTTTTTTTAGAGAGAGAGAGATTTTTACCATACGGCATGTGTGCTTGCCAGAGAGACAGAGAAAGACAGAGAGACAAAAAGTGAGAAATCACCATCCTCCTTGGGGAGAATGGCCATGCCACAATCCCTTCTCTTCCAATTTCCTATCAGGATTTTGAGCATACACGCACATGTGCCTGGTATGAATTTCAGGCCTCGAGGTCCAGGACTTAAACCATGGTGGTAATGTGGGAATACTGTGACATAACCCCTATGGCATCTGCTGGTCCCAAAACCCATAGTTTGAACCACGTTGCTCAGGGTTGATAGAGCAGGGGTTCTCAACCAGAACTGGGCCACACAACAGGAGATGAGTGGTGGGCAATTGACTGAGCTGCATCTGTATTTGCAGCTGCTCCCCAGTGCTAGCATTACCAACTGAGCTCTGCCTCCTGTCAGATCAGCAGGCAGCTGACAGCCACATGAATCCTACTGTAAATTGCACATGTCAGGAATCGAAGTTGCGTGTTCCTTATGAGACTTTACTGCCTGATGATCTGAGGTGGAGCTGACATGGTGATGCTAGCACTGGGCTGCAAATGTTGCATTACAAAGAATCGTATAATTAGGTCATTATATGCCGGGGTCCAGCCTTGGCAGGGATGGGTTGACTCATTGGAGGTGGTGCAGGTGAACAGAAGACAAAGGTCTCGGAGCCTTTTTATGCACGTCCTGAGTCAGACACCCCTCAGAGATTGCTCTCTGAAGAGTGACCCCTGCTAGGAATCATCGTGCCTTTTTATTGAAAATGTGATACTGCACGCAAATGGACGAGGGGCTATGTGTTCTAACTATTAGCTCATAAAGTTTTAACACTAGAGAACATGGGTTCCGTTTAGGATTGGATTAAGGGTGGGTCTAGTGCAGTTCCGCAATTGTTTGTTTGATGTAGGCGTCTTCATAGAATGCAGTTTTGGGAAAGCAGGTTCCAGCAAACAGAGATAATTATTAGCTGATGTGGTGCGGCAGCCATCTTGTGATTACCGAGCATGATACTGAGAAAAGAAAATCTCAAGTATAGCTATTAGTTCTTATGGATTTTAATAACGAATGGAACTTATATAATTTTATAGGGATCTAAAACTTAATTAAAGGAATCCTAATATATCTTGAAAGGGTAAAACTATTATTTACTAGGTAAGGGCGGGGACAGCTTTTTCAACTGGCAGTAAAGTGACTAACAAGTTAATGAAGAACTTTAAGGTAAGCTTGTGGCATACTTAAAACGTTTTGTTATACCTGTGGCGCCACTGCTATGTATTTAGTTAAAACATTAGCCATAGTGGGGCGGGAGTGCCCTGGGCCCGTTTCGGCCTAAAAGATTATTCTTCAGCTTATGTTAAATGTATCTTAAAGAACTTTCTAAAAGTCAAGAAGATTTTTGTCTAGATGTGACTAACACACCTTTTATTGTGGCCATGCTGGAGTGAAGCATTGTAATTAACAGTAGGTGGTCAAAGCAAAGGGGAGTGGTCAGGGGACTTTCTAAAAAAATTTATCATATACTCAGAATGTATAAGAGAGCTATGAATTCTTTTATAATAGTATATTGGGGAGTCAGAGAGGGGTCGCTTCCCAGCAAGGCTACTACAGCTTTCGGAGCAAATAGCAAGCAGCCTTGCCGACATGCTAATTCGACCTAAATTTTATTTCTAGGTCGGGGGTGGGGGGGGACACACACCAGCCTTGCCAATGTACTGACCCAACCTAAGAGGTAAAGGTCAAAAGCTCAAAACAGACCCTGGGACCCTACCGGGTTGGACTCCTCTAATTATATATTACACTGTAATAATAATAGAAGTAAAGTGCACAATAAATGCAATGTGTTTGAATAATCCAGAAACCATCTCCCCACCCCAACCCCAGAGTGGAAAAACTCTTCCACGAAACCAATTTCTGGTGCTAGAAAGGTTGGGGACTACTGTGTTAGAGAGTCAAAGTCACCCTGAAGGTTCTTGATAGACTGATTTGTAATTATTCTTAAATTCAAATTTAACTTCTTTGAAACTGTTGCAGATATTCTGACTGCTAAGCTCTGAATTCTAGCTATTTGCATTTCATATAGCCATCCTTGAATTATTTACATCTAAAGTATTTGTGATTTGGGGATTTTTAGACAAGTCTTAGGATGCATCTCACACATCTCCTGTTCATTTCTCTCCTGCTCCTCTACCACACCCTTCCCACAATTACAACACTATTCTCAGTCACCCGTTATAAATTAGAGCCCTAACACTCTTCTCCAATAGCGCTTATTTACATCTTTTATAACATGGAGTCACTTGAGAGGTTTAAACAGAGAAAGTGCATGAAAAGATTGTTTCATAAAGGTCATTTTGGAAAGTTAGTTTCTAACTAGGCTTAATTAAGTACTTCTTTTCTATGCTCTCATTATCTCATGAACATATTTGTAAAAGATTTCAGGAACAGAAAAACCCAGATCCTTAAAACCGTAATCTTCCTCCATATCTCGAGCTCTTTTTACTGTCTGTCCTTTTCAAGATGGTTCAGCTTAAGTCACATGATTCTGTGGGTTAGATGGTGGCACAGCTGTGGAGCACAATGCTCAGTGAGGCACATCCATGTCGGGGAAGGTTCTGGGTTTGCAGTGGAGACCTCTCTGAGCCAACAGGTACACGCATACCTATAATCTAGAGCTGTTTCAAACTGCAGGTGGATTGTGACACTGGGATACTGTTGGGGTGCTGTCTCTCTGTTTATATCTCTCTCTTTTTCTCTCTCTCTCTTTCTCTCTCATGGAAGAAATGAATAAATAAACTTCAAAATATTTTAACTGCATGATTTAATATTTTCACTAACATCAGACAAAATGAAATTATGAGATGGATCTACCATTCTTCCTAGGGAAAAAAAAGAGGAAAACAACTTTTAAACAAGCAACATACACAAAATGACAAATTTTCAAGATATTGGGCATCAGAGAATGAAAACCAGTGATTCCTAAGAGACAAGAAACCAAAGAGCCCTACAATGCCCCAGGTTAGTGTCTAAAGAGTGTTTTATAATAAAGGCCACAATTCAGGAAGGGAGAGCCTATGCCTGGTAGACTCAAGGGTGAAACTAGGAGTCCAGAAAGACCAAGGCAATGAGAGAGAGAGAGAGAATGAGAGGGAGAACTACAAAGAGAGAGAGTACCAAGGTCTGAGGAGAGTTCCCTCTTTAATCTTCAGCTGAGTTATGATCAAAATATGAGTGTAAGAAATCTCCCCAGGACCAAAAAAAGAAACATCCAAAAGGTTAGAGGAGAGAAAAAAAGCCTGTGTTCACTCAGGGCACAAATAATTCTTGATCCAATCAGCCAGGTAAAAAGCTTTATAATATATAGAACACAGATTATAATACTCAGAGGGGTTTGCCTTAATAGTGGAGAAAAATACCCTAGAATAAGTGTGGCTGTAATTCTATTTAACAAAGTTTAAGAGTAAAACTCAAAAGGATCAAGCTATTTCCAAATAACGTTCATGCATCCCACAATAAAACTCAATAGTAATTTTAGAGATACAAACATATACAGAACCCAACAATGTATAATTCATAATACATGGCATCCATAAAAAATCAACACACATGTAAAGAAGCAAGTAAATTTCACTCATCTTGAGTAAGAAAAAAGTCAATTAGTAGACAAGAGCAATAACATGGCTATTATATCTGCAGTGCATATGTTCAAGAAGTTAAAAAAGAACTGAGATATTAATGAGAGACAGAAATATAAAAATCCACTCAAATCAGATAGGAAATCTACTGTTTGTGATGAAAATACAGAAATCACTGTAAATATA